CTAATTCTCTGATATCTACTGGGTGTACTACAATTCAGTTCAATTTTTGGGGGGGGCCAACAGGGGATTGAATTCAGGGGCACTCGACCACTGAACTACAACCCCAGCCCTATTTTGAATTTTATTTAAAGACAGGGTCTCACTGAGTTGCTTAGTGCCTCACTATTGCTGAGGCTGGCTTTGAACTCGTGATCCTCCTGTCTCAGCCTCCTGAGCCGCTTAGTTCCTTGCTAAATTGCTAAGGCTGGCCTTGAATTTGCAATCCTCATGCCTCAGCCTCTCAAATCAATAGGATTACAGGTGCACCACCATGCCTGGATAGTACTAATTTTGTATTTCTATCTGTACTTCTATGCTAATGAGAATTCTACTACATGGAAAACTTTCCCTTCTGATTCATATATATTTATGGACTCATGGATTTCTATTTTATGAATTATAATCCACAATCATAATTATTTTGGAGGTTTAAATTGCTCCATTTTACTTTTTTTGGTACTGAGGGTTGAACTTAGAGACACTCAACCACTGAGCCACATTCCCAGCCCAATTTTTAAATTTTATTTAGAGACAGTTCACCAAATTGCTTAGCACCTCTCTTTTGCTGAGGCTGGCTTTGATACTCCTGCCTGAGCCTCCCGAGCTGCTGGAATTACAGGCCTGCACAATCATGCCCAGCCCCATTGTACTTTTCAAAATCATATTTATGCAGGTATAAATCAACACATGTAATATGACTACGTTTTTGAAATTTTTTTTTAGTTGAAGATAGACGCAATACCTTTATTTGTTTGTTTGTTTGTTTATTTATTTAATTTTTTTGTGGTACTGTGGATTGAACCCAGTGCTTCACACATGCTAGGAAAGCATTCTACCACTGAGCTATAACCCCAGCCCCTATGATCACATTTTATAATCATGAATGTGGATAGGAAAAATCCTGCAAGAATATAAACACCAGGCTGAGGTTGTGGCTCAGCAGTAGAGCTCTTGCCTAGCATGTGCGAGGCCCTGGGTTCGATCCTCCACATAAAAATAAATAAAATAAAGGTATTGTGTCCAACTACAACTAAAAAATAAATATTAAAAAAAAAAAGAATATAAACACCAAGAATGGTTATCTCGGAAGTAAAAGTAACTGTAATTATTTGTCTTTTCATATTTTCTAAAATAAAAGTTTTACTACTAGAAAAGGTCAATAAATACTATTTTAAAAATAATTTTTGATAGTAAAAATTGGCATGTTCTAAACTTACAGATGGTAACTGAAATTTATCTAAAGAATGTCAGGTTATGTGCATTCTTTGGCCAGGTGCAATGGCATATGACTATAATCCCAGCCTTGGGAGGCTGAAGCAGTAGGATCACAAGTTCAAAGTCAGCCTCAGCAATTTAGCGAGGCCCTAAGCAGCTTAGCAAGACCCTCAAAATTTTAAAAAGGGATGGGGATGTGGCTCAGTAGTTGAGCAAACCCTTGGTTCAATCTCTGATACAAAAAAAAAAAAAAGAGCTACTGGAGAACTGTAAATGGTAGGTAAGAGCTGAGGCAATTAAAAAATTCCAAAATTATTTTGCTCAATTTGTTTTTAGTAAAAATTGTTTTTGAAATCAAATAACATTAGAGAGTGTGATATACAACATAATACATCTGGTCTTTGTCCCCAATTTCTGGCACAGAGCTTCAAAATCGCTTTGAATTTCCTAATGATAGGAGTGTTTTTGTTATGAATAATGAGCCCCTTCAACCATAGTTGAGTTCATCCTATTGAGGTAACTCATTCATGAAGGGGGTTAGTCACCAGAAAAACCAAGTCCCCCAAGGATGAATGAGGGACTAATGTTTGAATTCAACCATATTAACCAATGATTTAATCAGCCACATCTACATAACAAGACCCCCTATAAAACCTCTGAGCATCAAAGCCCAGGAGAGCTTCCTGGTTGGTGAACATGTCAATGAACCAAGGTGGTGGCACACCCTAACTCCATAGGAAAGAAGCTCACAGGATGTTTACATGGTTTCAAAGGATCTCCTTCCAAGATACTTATTAATTACCAAAAGAAAAATAATAACTCTCCTATGGAGAAACCTCAGACATCACCATATCCAAGTGATCTAGCTAACATCCCCAGTCATGGGGCATCATCTGCTGTCTGCTATGATGCACTGAGAAAAACATACTGGAATATTCCTGCCCAAAGGTTTAAAAGAATTTTAAATGTTAATGTTAGGAAAGACAAGAAAGGAAGGAAGGGAGGGAGGGAGGGAGGAAGGAAGGAAGGAAGGAAAAGAAAAGAAGATTTAAGAAATTCTTTCAGGGCTGAGGCTGTAGCTCAGTGGCAGAGTGCTTGCCTAGCATGCATGAGGCCCTGAGTTCAATCCTCAGCACCATATAGAAATAAAATAAAATATTGTGTCCACCTAAAACTAAAAAATAAATATT